AAATTATTTACCATCTTCTCATTCAGCTCTCACCAAGCCGTTGATATTTTTGGGTGTCTACAATAATTATGAAACAATGCCAAGATGATTGCCGAGAATTCATTTCGATAATTTAAGTAATTATTCAAAAAGTCAGGAGAGCTTGTGGCAGTCTAAAACGAAAAATCTTGGTTCAAGGGAGAAGAGAAGGGCAGAAATAAGGCTAAACAGTCAAATAAGGGCGATAAAGTTTACCTCTCTCCGTCGCCAAGCTTATTTCTGACATTCGATAAAAGAAGCCGAACCAGGCGTAATTGATGGAGAAAGGGAGAGGGGGACCGGTTAGTTTTGAATCAAAACCTCTTCTGCCAAAGAACTTTTGCTTAACCTAATCATAAAATGCATGCTCCCTCATCATTAAAGATAATGTTGTAACAGTGCTGATTATTGGGGCTTTTTTATCACTACTCTACTAATTATTTTGTTCTTATTCGTCCGTAAGCTCTTAAATGATTTAAAAAATAGTTCACTGACCTCTGCTATATTGTACGAGTAAGACTCAAATACTAATGTGCATTCCTGCGCATCTATAGGAAACCGTGACAGTTCAAAACTACACGGAGCAGATACCTGTACTCGATAATTTAGCCATACAGTACCTAAACAATAACCTTAGGAATCAGTATGCAGCTTAAAGAAAAATGTGCCTACCATTGGGATATATGATCAACAATATATTCGATGATGGTGATTTATGTACTTGTGTGCTTTTACTATTCACAAAGCACACGTTAGGTGTCCACAGCCGCTCGCTTACATAACTATCCAAAGACAAATTGGATTTGCAGGAAATATTTCTGTAAAAGAGCTTCTTGCATATTTAGAAAGGATTTTGTAAAAAGAAAATTTGCCTCCGTTCAACTCACTTGTATGCCAGCCGGGAATCCGTCCAAACTTGACTAAACCATACATCAGCTATAAATGAGCTGGATATTTCAGATATGGACGATATATCCTTAAAAAACCTTAAATAAACACCCCAGTATGAAGAACTACTTATAGCATTGTGTGGTTGTTATTGGATAAATATGTTTAACTTTTATTGTGTGAACATATTCCTCCTTTTTCAAACCACACCATCATCTTCTAAGGTTTACCTTTAGTAGGAAGTTTGTTACCAGATTTACGATTTAGAAAAACTGTCTAAACAGAG